CCCCAAAACCCCAAAACCCCAAAACCCCAAAACCCCAAAATTTAGAATAAATATTGAAAATGGCAAGCAGATATAGCAAAATTTTCCCAGTCCCAGATGGGTTCATGGAGGTCCTCCATGACTTCGCAATGGAGGTCTTGAGAAACCAACCTGAAGATGTACTACTCTATGCCCATGAATACTTTAAAGCAAAGGATGAAGGAATTCCTCTGGATTATAAGGGTGTGATGACAGCTGTAGATGGACAGAGCTCGAAGGAAATTCCTCCTCCAGCTAAAAATGAAGCACCAAAGGTTTCAGAAGAGCCAAAGAAAGAACCAAAGGCAGAGCCTAAGAAGGAACCAAAGGCAGAGCCTAAGAAGGAACCAAAGACAGAACCTAAGAAGGAACCAAAGAAAGAGCCTAAGAAAGAACCTAAGAAAGAGCCTAAGAAAGAACCTAAGAAAGAACCTAAGAAAGAGTCAAAGGAAGAGCCGAAGAAAGAGCCAAAAGAGGAGAAAAAGGAGACTCCTCAAGCTCCAAAAGGTGTTAAAACAGATGAACAAAAAGCAACTGAAGCTGCTAAGAAACCTGAACAAAAAGAGCCCCAATCAAGAGTTTCTTCAGCTAAAGAAAGCGACAAAAGAGATGCTGAAAAATACGTTAGTGATATGATAGAGAAAGTCAGCCAGGATGAAGAGGAAGACGAAGATGAGGTCAAGCCAGATAAAAAGAAAGAAGCCAAAGATTTATCAAATTCAAAATCTAACGACATCTCCGCAGAACTAAAAGACAACAAAGCATTCAAAGATAAAGACTGGGTCGCCCAATCTCTGCTATAAATCCCTAAACATTTTCACAAATCCTCTTACTCACATTCTCCTCCTCTTCCTCTCCACCCAAAATTTCCCCTATAATCGCCTCAAAATCCACTTTTCCCTCAAAACCCCACCTCCACGTACAAAATTTTGTCAAAATAACGACCAGGGGTTAACGATTTTACTATTTTTGAGATTTTAGGAAAATTTATAATATTTTTGAATTAGATTAAATAAAATTTTAAATTTCAGCTATTTTGAAACATGATGGGGTTTTGGGGTTTTGGGGTTTTGGGG